ACTCCCAGAATTCCCCAGCCAGCTGGCTGGGGAATTCTGGGAGTTGAAGTCCGCCCGGCTTAAAGTTGCCAAGGTTGGAGACCCCTGCTATAGAGAAAAAAGGGGGTGCTTTTTGTTGAATATAAGAATAAAAGAAAGTATGCAGTACTAAAGAGAAAAACATAAATATACAGTCAAAGAGAATGTATAGTAAATAAAGTCAATAGAATTTAAGCAAAAGGAAAAAAAGAACTCTATACTATTTAAATAGAACAAATGCAATCTGCACGGTACAGTTACACTGCTTCCTGCAAAGGGAAGAATATAATTGTCATGCACTATTTGTGTATGTGGGTCAGAATATTCCTATAGGGCTCAAAACACAACTTTGACGTTCAGCCTCAGTTCAACTTCTTAACTAATTACCACCTCATCCTCTGTTAACTGAGTCTTACCTTGGTTTCTTCTCCTTCCAGGTCAAGGGTTGTAGCAAAGACCCATTTGGGTGGACATGGCAGCTCCAGAAACCTCTTCACCAGACCCAGACCGATCCCCCGGTCAGATCCAGTCACCAGGGCACTGAAAACACAGAAATCCATGGATTTTGCCATCTCTTCAAGGACCTGTAGCTTCTGCTTCCAACTTGCTCAAATGTTTGTTTCAAATTTCTTTTCACTATGGGAGATAACAATATAATGAATGGGTAACACCCATCTTTAGGCTTTCTGAGAAATTTTTATTTCTTATTAAATTTGTTTGCTGACAATTCTCAGCAAATCTAGCTGGCTCCCACAACTAATTTAGTTATCATGGAAAGCAGAAGGAAGATGCATCCATAGCTGTAATATATTTCATAGAACACAACTTAGAAATAGGGAGAAATTTCCTGACAGTGAGAACAATTAACCAGTGCAACAGGCTGCCTTCAAAAGTTGTGGGTCCTCCAACACCGGAAGTTTTAAAGAAGAGGCTTGTCTGAGATTACATAAGTTTGTCTACAAAGAGCTTTTTGGAGAATATGGCAACTCCACAATCTCCCTCTTCTTCTCCCTCTCTTTCTCTCTTTTTTTTTTTGGTAAGATACTGTATGGAGGTACAAATAATTGTTTCTGCATGTATGTGTATTGAAAAAATACATTCTAAAAAACAGCGCTTCTGCCTTGAGATATTGGGTTATCTTTATTTCACACATTGACATTGTCTATGTGATCCTAAATATCTTTTTGTAACACTTGTAAAGTCAGGCTTTCCAACCTCCCAACCCAAAATCGTTGTCATTGATCCTACATAGTACCATTTTTTTTTCTTTTACAAAATGTGTTTAATAATGCATGCAAATGTTTGAGATCTTGTGAATCAAAGAAAACAACAAGACTAGAACTTTCCTGAGAGAAAGTAGCTTATTAAAGCACCATCATCTCTTAGTGCATTTTATGCCAATGACATCAGGATAAGAGTGGTAGATCACCAGGGAATTCGATGACCCAACCAATCCAGAAAGGTCCCGTTGTCCTCTGAAAGTATGGTTAGTACTGTCATGATGCCTTGTGTGCTGTCTTCCACGCTCAAAAACGGATATCATAAGGTTTAAAGAACCAGTCCTGCCCAGCCCAGATTCTTCACCTAAGCCAATCAGCCAAGCACAGTTGGACCTCTTGACTATAAATTGTCAACTCTAATAAAATGTATTTGTGTTATACCAGCCGTTGCCATTTTAGCTTATAAAGCTATATGCCCGATACATCATGTACAGTTAGTCCTCAAATTACCAACTGTTCAAAGTTACAACGGCAATGGAAAAGACTAACTCAATCCTGACACCTGTGACTGTCGCTAAGAACTGCTTTGTTTAGCAATGTAGATTGTTCGAATTGTACAATTGAGGACTATCTGTAATGCCTGTACTTGAACTAAATTTGAATAAATTAAGTGAACGATGGGTGAGCAGTCCTTGCAAAGGGGAGATACCAAGTCAATGAAGTTGCTTCTAATATTGTAAACAGGAATTCTTGTGATTTGTTTAATAATGAGGGTCTTCCCCCACCTTCCTCGCTTATGGTTCAAAAGCAAATGGGCCAACCTCCCCTTGAGTCTTAAATATGAGAATGAAAAAGTCCTTCTAATTTCTGATATAAGCACATGCTTTCCTACAGAAATTTCTTCCCCATGCAAATAGGAATCATCACCAATAGGTCAAACAGGAAGGGATTATAGAGGGGAATTGAGGCTAAGACACCGAGCTTGTCAATCAGAAAGGTCGAATCCCCAGCGCTGCGTAATGGAGTGAGTTCCTGTTACTTGACTCAGCTTCTGCCAGCCTAGCAATTTGAAAGCATGTAAAAATGCAAGTAGAAAAATAGGGACCCCTTTGGTAGGAAGGTAACAGCGTTCCGTGCGCCTCAAGCACTTAGTCATGCCGTCCACATGACCACTGAGACATCTTCGGACAGCGCTGGCTCTTCAGCTTTGTAACGGAGAGGAGCACTGCCCCCTAGAGCCAGAGATGACTAGCATGTATGAGCTTTACCTTTAGATTTTCTTCTAAGAAGAAATTGAAATGAAGTTTTCTTGGGGTGCATTGTTCTGTTACATCCTGTTGCAATTTCCATTCTGTATTCTTTTTGCACCCAATCCTTTAATTCAATGTATGGCAATGATCCTCAGCTGCTATCCATGGTCTGCAGACTCCTAGGATGGGGGCGCACAATGTCATCGCAGAGAGTCCATGAAGACTTGTGGAAATGTTATGATTTAAATCTTGAGTTAAGACTTGGGGGGTTTGTGGTGACAAATGGTATTTAAAGAGGGTCCGTGCTGAAGAAAAGGTTAAGAACCACTGATCTATAGCATAACTTTTGCAGAAGTATTCAATATATCTCTTTTTTGCACAGCATATTAAATAAAATACAAAAACATTTAGAGACTCATTCTTCTTCTTGTGCCATATCTGTCATCAGACATTGGCAATCAAATGTAAGAATTGAAACATATGGTGATCACCAGCCTAAATACCATGAATTATGAAATAGAAAAAAAGGGGATAAATTTGTTAGAAAGTTTGTCTACAAAGAGATTTGGGGACTCATTCACCTCCCTTTCATCTAAATAACCATTAGCTAAATATCCATGGAGGTTCTCAGTCATCCAGGTCATGGATGTCCCAAAGGTGCTTTTTCAAGAGGCAACTGGACTTTCTGGTTTTTCTTTAGAGACGTTTCACTTCTCATCCAAGAAGCTTCTTCAGCTTTCAAAGAAAAACCAGAAAGTCCAGGTGCCTCTTAAAAAGCACATTTGGGACAAATAATTGGGAAGCATTATTGTTAATTAACAACATCTCCCAATTTTCCTCCCTCTCTCTTACTATCTTTATTTTTAGTACAATATTGAATATACAAGGAGTCGTTGTGTCTATGACTACATGTTGAAAGGATATGAAATGCTTCTCACCTGAAATGCTTCTCACCTGAGATACAGGGCCCTGTGTATTTCACGCATTGACATTGCATATTTATTTATTTATTGAATTTATATTGCCGCCTACTCGCCCATATGCATTTTGTAACATTTGAGGAGTCCGTCTTCCCAACCTCCCAACCTAAAATAGTCTTCGTTGGTCCTACATAGAATATAGAATCATAGAGTTGGAAGGAACCTCGGACATCTTCTAGTCTAACCTCAAACAGGAGACCCTATATCATTTCAGACAAATGGTTGTTCAATATCTTTTTGAAAGCCTCCAGTGATGAAGCACCCAGAACTTCTGGATGAAAGCTGTTCCATTGGTGAGTTGCTCTCAACATTAGGAAATTTCTCCTTAGTTCTAGGTTGCTTCTCTCCTTGGTTAGTTTCCATCCTTTGTTTCTTGTCTTGCCTTTTGGTGCTTTGGAAAATAGTTTGATCCCCTTGCCTTTGTAGGAGCCCCTCAAATATTGGAACAGTGTTATCATGTCCCCACCAGTCCTTCTTTTCATTAGACTAGATATATTCAATTCTTGCAACTGTTTTTCATAGGTTTTAGCCTCCACCCCACTTTGTTGCTCTTCTCTGCACTCTTTCCAGAGCTTCAACATCTTTTTTATATTGTAGTACCCAGAACTGGATTTAGTATTCCAAGTGTGGTCTTACTAAGGCTTTGTAAAGTAGTACTAGAACTTCACATGATCTTGATTCTCTCCCCGTTAATGCAAACATTGGTTTCTTTTGGCTGCTGTCACACACTGTTGCCTCATATTTAATCGATTGTCCATTAGGACTCCAAGATCCCCCTTGTAGTTACTAGCATTAAGCCACATTTCACCTAGTCTATACAGTTGGGTTTTTTTTTTACCTAGGTGTAAAATCTTACTTTTATCTACATTGAATTTCATTTTGTTAGGCGCGCTTACTTTTTTCTTTACAAAATGTTCTTCATAATATAGTGGTTCCTTGGTACTCAACTCATCAAATTTGGTACCCATTGCATTTTGACATGAAAATGTTGTCTTGGTCATCATTGTTTGTTTCGTGCTCAAAGCACAAGTTAGAACTTGTTGGTGTCGGCTGCCATGTGACATTATTCCTTATGGGAAACGTTTGCTTGATACTCATTGTTTCTGATACTCATTTCACTTCCCAAAACCGATTAATGATGAGTACTGAGGTACCACTTTATATGCAGATGTTTGAAATTTGTGAAAGAAAGAACAAGACCAGGACTTTAATGACAGAAAGCAGTTTATTGAAGGGCCCATCACCTCTCAGAGTATTATGAGCCAATGACATAAGGGTGAGACTGTTGGATCACCACGGAACACAACGACCTAACCAATCCAGAAAGGTCCCATTATCCTTCTCGGAAAGCATGGATAGGACAGTCACGATGCCTTGTGTGCTCTCTTCCACAGTGATTTCCGGCTGCCACAAAGAAAGATCTCATAAGGTTTAAAGAACCCAGAATTCTCACTTAAGCAGATCAGCAGAATCTAATTGGACTTCTTGATCATAAATATTCAACTCTAGCATAGAGAATGATTTGTATTAAACTGGTCAATCAAATGTTGATTGATTATCTTTACAAAGGTATATCAATGCAGCCTCTGTGATCAAGTGATGATTTAATGTATTCCATAAATCCCTAAATTTGAGTTAATAGAACAAATTAAATGAAACCAGTACAGCATACTTTGCAAGCCAAAGGATTTGTTTCTAATAATTTAAAGCAGAACACACATGACTTGTGTTACCACATGAATGTTCAGCATACTGCATGCCAAGATGTTTTCCAGAACAGATTTTTTCAAGCTGGCAAATTATCTTTTCCCAATTTTCAATAAACCATCTCTTAGAAATCTGTCACAGAACCTGCGAAACCTGCCTTAGATCTTAAGCAGAAACAGAACTGTTTTTTTCCCTTTAATATATTTTTGTCCTTCTTCCTTTTTCTGTTTTCTTTTTCGCATCTATTTTTCTTTTTTTAGGCTGTGATTATTTTTTTTTTTGCATATGTAATATTTCATAAAAACATACTGTAGGGCATATAATTTAAAATATTCATCCAGAGTATATGCACATACACCAGGGTCCATGGATAAATGCATTATTTCTTTTCATCGTTTAAAAGACTTACGTAGGGGTTGTGAGTTGTATTTACCAAGCCAGGATGGATGGCTACTGCCAGAATCCCACTCTTTGAATACTCAAGTGACTGGCACTTAGTGAGCATGTTTAAAGCAGCCTGCGTAAGCAAAAAGAAAAAAAACACAACTATAAGGGAAGAAGTTCCTTGGATGAGAAGCCCAACGTATTCAAAGAAAAATCGGAAAGTGCAGCTGACTCTTGAAAAAAAGCACCTTTGACCAGGATGACTGAGACCAGGATAAAGAAAATGCATGCTTTGAAGTAGGAAATGGGAGATGAAAATGAAAACAAATCCCTTGGCTACACTGAGCTACACGGTTAGCCTCATCCAGGGCTGGAAAGGAGGAGGCAACACACCACAACTGGACTACTAAACAGTTCTGTCACCACACAAAGGAGGAGTGGGGAGAAGGAAGCCCACCATATGGATAGTTCTGGTAGCAAACAAATAAATCTCATTGATTATATTGCATTGAGCGGCATGATGGCCAAGTGGATAAAATGTTTGCCTCCCACTTGGAAGGTTGAGAGTTCAATCCCAGGTAATGGGAAATGTTTCTCTCCCAGAGCGCAAAAAAAATATAAATTGCTGTGAACTTCACACGGTGTCAGAAAGGGCATCGCTATTCAATCACCCCAATCCCAAATTAAGGGAATACAAGGTCATAAAAGGAGAATTTGTTGATTATATTATATTATATTGTCTGAGACAGGCACCTAGCTGTTCACGGGCATCACTACAGGTTGAATGTTGAGGACTAGAAGGCTGGTTCCTGCACCTTCAATCCCAGCTAAGTTCATCCAATTCCCCCATATTGGTTTTTCTGGACTGCTGATCGTATCTGTATGTGGGATCATTGTGTGTGTGTGTGTGTGTGTGTGTGTTTTGCAAACCATCTCAACAGCAAAAATCAGGAGTTTCATCAAAGCCTGTTGAGCTGTTTATCTGGCTTTTTAAAACAAAGCCATCTAAATGACTAGTGTTTGAACAAAGGGTTTTCTCAGCTTAGCATACTTTATATCCCAGACATTCCCACTTTTTAATCTGATTTTTGTTTTTACAATGAATGAAAACAGTAATCGTTTCTGAAAAACAAGCGGATCTAGGCAATTCCATCTTTTCTTAATTTCAGTCCTGACAGTAGACATCCATCTGTTTCTTCTGTAAATGAAATCATTTTGAAACGAAGCCCATTTAAATTTGGTTATAGGTTTGGTGTGTGTGTGTGTGTGTGTGTGTGTGTGTGTGCAAGACTGCAAGAGAGCACTTGCACTCTGCACTAGCTGAAAAACCTATGCCACGTGGTTTGCAGAAGAACAAAATTGAGCTGTATGAACATGTCCCTATTTTTTTGTCTTTCCAAATCTCAACAGTAGACAATAAATTACTCTTTAAGGGACAAGCATGCAGCAATAGCAATAGCACTTAGACTTATCTACCGCTTCACAGTGCTTTTACAGCCCTCTCTAAGCGGTTTACAGAGTCAGCCTCTTGCCCCCAACAATCCGGGTCCTCATTTTACCCACCTCGGAAGGATGGAAGGCTGAGTCAACCTTGAGCCTGGTGAGATTTGAACTGCCAAATTGCAGGCGGCCTGCAGTGCTGCAGTCTAACCACTGTACCACCGCGGCTCATGTAGGGACAAACCCAGCAATGACCGAAAACGGAAGTTCCAACTATGTGCAGGCAAATCCAGACAGACATCACATTAGGTACCTTACTGCAACGGTATGAAACTACTTGTACTTTGTCCCAAATAAGCATAACCTCCATTGAGCCAAGGGCACTGGAAATATTGATAATAGCCGCTTTGCTGGTGCTCAGTCCTGGCCTTGGACTTTTCTGTGCTGCCTTCTTCAACAGGGGTAGAAAGGCCTTGAAGAGAAAAAGAGGAAAAGAGAGAAAGGAATGAAGTTAGGTCTGTGCATCAGGTAGCCAGAGGGACTTCTATCAACTGAAGCTGATTTCCAAGGGAATCCTCACAAAGTGTTCTGACCCAAGCCTTGTTCAAATTAAACAAGCACAAATTGTGTATAAAAGCAAATCTTTTTTAATGCAGCACTGGGAATTCTTTGCATTCCCAGCCAAGAGTCATTTAAACCTAATTGTCCGAGATAAAAGCAAGTCCTTTCAAGATTGTAAAAGGATGCCAAGAACAGAAGCTTAATTACTGATAAATATCAAATGACGGAAGTTTCAAAAACAAACCAGAGTTCGCAGGACTTCAGCGAGGACTCAGAGTCTAAAGAACTTCTTTGCTTCCTGCAAAGAGCACATCCCCGAGGGCTGGTTTTTATCCCTTATAGGAGGGGCAATCACCTTCCAGCCTTACTCCTGAGTCGCCCCTTCTGCTTCAGCTGCTCTCGACTTCTAGCAGCTCTGCACACACGCACACCGGGAACAGGCTCCCCTGGGTCCTCTGCTTCACTGCTGCCAGACTCCAAAGGCTCCAAAGGCAGCACCCCACTCTCCAATAGTCCTGGCTCCATCCCTGCATCGGATGCAGGACCCTTGTCCAAGTAACCCCTAACTTGACAATAATTCTCTATGAGCTATTTTAGCAATTTCTTCTGACCCAAATCAGAAGTGAATTATTTTAGAGTTTTAGACAACACTGCCTAAAATCTATGTGGGTGATAACATCAAAAGGATGATCTTATATTATGGTGATTCCATTTCGATGAACCCTTAGAAGTTTTCTGTAATTGCTTTGTTGCCATATACTTCCATGACCTTCCTGACAAAGGGGTGGTGGGAAGCTAGTCAATAGTTGTGAGGATTGCTTGGGTGAATCAGTAGCCTCTTGAAGAAGGGATGCACAACCTCCCTTCACCATTATTAATATCAAGGTCACATGGAAACAGAATTAGCTCTGTAGGTATAGCTCAAGTCCATTCCTGCTGGAGCTTATCTTGCATAGAACTGTATCCATTTCCCCAGAGTTCAAGGATCTCAACAATCCCAGATGACCTTGTAAAAAGTTGTCGTGATATGCCTCATGTGATGACCTGGGGCGTGACACAAAAATAATACAGTCACACAAGTAGAATAAATTCCCTTTAATGCTTCCAACTTGGGCCTCAATGTCCAATTATCCTCGACTTGATATCAAATGCTTCCAAAAACAATCTACGAAGAGAGTAAATGCAGTCCAAACCAAAAGTAAAAATAATTCAAAATAAAAAACCCAACACAAACCACACTGGAGTCATTAACATGGCAGGCCAGGATGATAAATTGCAGACTTCCACAAGATAACGCAGCAACCACAGTTGGGAAGATGTCAAAACCCAGATAAGCATCGACCAAGGTAAAGGGCACTTTGCTTCCAGCAAAGAGCTATTTAAAATGCCCCACTTATATCTTGTTCTCCTAGCTGCAACTAACGAAAGGGATCAGGGCCTTTTCCTCTCCCGCAAGACATGTTGCTCCCTTCTCCGTTCCTCCCTGTGTGCTCTAGGATAAAGAGGGGATGTGCCTGGGTCTTCCTCTGAATGCCCAACCAGACTGTGCTCTTCCCCCATTTCTTCCACAGCCACCGGAGCCACACTCCCACTCCCTGTCAGTTGCTCAATCTCCCCCTCAGAATTGGACTCCAACAAGGGCATGACACCTAAGGATTGTGTCAAGGATTATGGGTGATTCTTACCACAAAGTGATCCAGAAGTTATTCTGACTAATCAGGTAGGTCAAGGATGTTTCTCCTTCTACTCATTTCTACTCATTTTGAGCATTATCATTCTGCTTTATTTATTCTGAGTTATTTTTTTTTTAGTTTTGTGTTAAATAATATATTAGAGATATTCAACCTTGGCAGCTTTAACACTTGTGGACTTCAACACCCAGAATTTCCCAGCCAGCTATGCTGGCAGTTGAAGTCCTTAAGTCTTAAAGTTGTCAAGGCTGGGCATCCCTGTAATATAAGGTACTCGGCTCAAATGTGGTTTCAAAAAAAATAATAATTAAAGAATAAACAAACCTGACTCATTTGCAGTGGTCCAATGGTGTTGACTGAATATATAGTCTGCATATCCTTGGCATTCTCATTTTCTAGATTTTCAAAGAACCAACGGCCAGCATTGTTGATAAGGAGGGTCAGCCCATCATCTCCAACACACTTTTCCACTTCTTTTAAAACTGCCTGGATGCTCTCAAGAATAGTGACATCTGAGGAATGATTAGAGTTTTTCAACATGTACTACACAAAATGCCTTTCAAAGTTGTTCATCAGACATTTGATGGAAGTTCAGAAGATCCCTACAACTAAATAGCTCTTTTGAGTGGCACTTTGACAGATTCCAGGTTCAAACTGTTGAAAATATTGACTTCAATTTATGTTTATATTAGCAATGAGTGCAAAAAGTCAATGCCTGGAACAAGTAGCTGAAGATCACCAATAAAGTGGCACTGTGCTAAACATTAGACTCAGAGTGGGGCTGAAATTAAATAATAAAGGGATTAGTTCTTTACTGTCATCCTGTGATCGTCCAAATACAGTAAATATAATCTGCTAATTCAGAAACCACATAACTGGAGGTCTTGCAACATACTAGTGAAATCCAAGCAAACCACAGTCAACTTTACCAGAGGTCTTGCTGATTCTGTTACTTCCAACAATGGCTTTTAGCTGAATCTCTCTTTGTTCTCTTCTATAGAACAAAATTTGTCCAACTTACCTTTGACTCTTGAAACTTACCTAGTTGTAATAACACCAAGTTTGGATTTCTGCACACCAACTCTTTTACCTCCTGGAGAAGGGTAAGAAACAAAAAAAATTGTCTCAGAATTAAAATTTATTTTTATAGATCAAAAGCAGGCAATGAATTGAATCCAGTTCCAAAGAGGGCAATATCAAAATGAACAGTAAATTAAAAAAAGTTATGTCAATATATTTATTTATTTGAAAGACTAGTAAGGATATCCATCTTATAGACCAAAGCTCTGGGCACCTCTCCAAAACAGCAATAAAAACATAAAGAGGCAATAAAAGCATTGAAAACTCCCAGTGTCTCCAAACACTTTTGCATGTAGCAATGTCTAGATTGACCAGGGTCATGCTAACTCAAGGCCATCCAGAAGGCTAGGCAGGTAGGGTCTTACTGGATCTTGGGCAATGTGTGTTCCACAGGGCAGGTGCTGCTATAACTTCCTAAATCCTGCCTGGTGACATTTAAGGGGACAGGCCTGGAGCACACTCACCATACCCAAACTGGTAGGATAGGAAAGTACCTTCAGGGATAGGTAGGTTTATAATAAAGCTAGTCAGAGCTTTAAAGGTGATAACCAACTCCTTGAATGGCAGCCACAATGAAACTGGAAGATGGTGTGGCTCATGAAGAGCTGCGTAATACCAGCAAACTGTAAATATCCAGAACTTCACACATCAATACAGTTGTAAGAGGTAGATGGTTTTCAGGGACAGCCCCATGTACTGCGTGTTACAGTTATCCAATCAGGAGGTCACCAAGTTGTGAAGTTGTGTATCTTTATATTACACTAGTATAAACACGGAGATGCGGTGGCTCAGTGACTAAGACGCTGAGCTTGTCGATTAGAAAGATCGGCAGTTCAGCCATTCGAATCCCTAGCACCGCGTAACGGAGTGAGCTCCCGTTACTTGTCCCAGCTTCTGCCAACCTAGCAGTTTGAAAGCATGTTAAAAATGCAAGTAGAAAAATAGGGACCCCTTTGGTGGGAAGGGAACAGCGTTCCGTGCGCCTTTGGCATTTAGTCATGCCGGCCACATGACCACGGAGACGTCTTCGGACAGCGCTGGATCTTCTTCAGCTTTGTAACTGAGAGGAGCACCGGCCCCTAGAATCGGGAACGACTATCATGTATGTGTGAGGGGAACCTTTACCTTTACCCTATAAATGTGTACTTATTGATTAGGCAAAACAAACCACAACAGAAGCAAAAAGAAGAGAGAAAATAATACATTTACGTACATAAAATAAACTTTACACTGACTAGAACAAAAGCTGAAGCGAAAATGATTATTTTTAAAAAAATGAAATTTGGCCTTAGAAAGGCTAAATAAACAAAAAAAAAGAAAAGAAATAAGAAAAAATTTTTTTAGGAAAAAGCATCCCTAAGTCCCTCTCCATCCTTATCCTTTTTCTCCCCCCCCAACTTCCACCATTTAATATTTTCATACTCTGCTCTGGACATCTGCAGCTATGGCTCACTTCTATATGGATCCTTCAGATTATTTTATAAACAGTTTCTCTTTTTCTTCAAACCCCCCACCCCCACCCCACCCCCACATTCTTAACATGCCTTGCTGTGCATCCCCATCAAGTAACGTTGGGAGGAATTAGCAGATTGCTTGGACTCAGTTGTGTTTTACACAAAATAGTCAGACTAAAATAAACCGCGGGCTACAGTGAACTGTTAACTCAACTGCTCTTCCGTTTCCCAAGTCTCATCTTCTCCCATCCTGCACCCGGAAGCCCAAGTTGATATACACTTCTTCTCCCTCAACAACCCTTGGGGGGCATGTGGGCTGAGAGATACTCAGGAAGCGGCAAATCACCTAGGAGCTTTATGGCCAACTGGGAAGGGGTACCAAGGTCATCCCGCCCTAGGTCCAACATCTTAACCATTGTACCCCGCCATCCTGTTCCATTAAGTGATTCCTTACCTTGGTTTCTTCTCCTTCCAGATCAAGAGTTGTAGCAAAGATCCATTTGGGTGGAGAAGGCAGCTCCAGAAACCTCTTCACCAGACCCAGACCGATCCCTCGATCGGATCCAGTCACCAGAACGCTGAAAACGCAGAAGTCCATTGCTCCGGGAGCTGCAGTTTCGGCTTCTAACCTGGATTTGTTCCAAATGCTTCTTCTCATTGTACAAAGGGCATTTATAAGGAAAAGGCAACACCTACTTAAGACTTTTTAATAAACTTCATCTACACATTGGGCATGCACTCTAATCCTATTTCATGTGAAGATACCAGTTTGGTAGGAATATGGCCAGGGGGCTTGGGAAAGGGTGAGGTCTTGTCTCCAACAGTTGGAGGCTAACACTTTTTTTTTTAGCCCTGATTTGTTTCCTTGTGCATATTTATACATCTTGAATACATGACGCTGGGAAGCTGACGCAAATAAAATAGTAAAAACGAATATCCAAATAATTGCAACAAAAAGTCAGAAACAACAAAACCAGTTAAAAATGGTAAACAAAAGGCACTGGAAAGTGCAATTCAAATTTTAAAAGACAAAATAGCCATTTCTCAGGCTTTGTATGCCTCCAACAGGTTCAAACCATTCCCAAAAATCTTTTGGGGTTTTATAAACCATCTTCTCTCTCTCCCTCCCTCCCTCCCTCCCTCCCCCCCCCTCTCTCTCTCACACACACACACCTAGAATCTTGTATAATGGAAAAAATGTCTAGGCAAAGAAAATAAAATGAACATAAAGATTACATTGAGACAATTTTCCAAGCAAGGCTAAACCTCAAGAGTTAAAATTTTCTCTTGATGGCATTTATATCTATCTTACTATATGCCTCCTATAGACAGCTAAAGTTGTCTGGATTGAGCCGCACCGAAATTAAAATATGGAATAAATCAAATAAGCAAATAAACACCTGAGGCCCAGAGCTCAAAAGAGACAGCATAAAAGAAAATGAGGCATTTAAATGGAGTCGCCTCCAACTTATGCAAAATGTGTCCAGTAATTGCACTCATAATTAGTTTCCCTATTCAATGTCTGCCTAAACACAAAAGCTCTGGATGTTATATGCTATTCATAAGGAGCAAACGTAATCCAAAAAATTTAAGTGTCTTCAAAATGTCCTAAAGCAAAACCTGAAATGAAACTTAAAGGCCATAAGCAAGTAATAAGAAGGTGTTAAATTTGCTTGCTTCTATTCAGATAATCATCTAGAATACAAAGGAATTTAAAATGTTGGTACTTAGTTTGAATATCTTAAATATTCACAGGAGAAATAAACTGCTGATCTACTAAGATTATCAAAATCAACTTTTTTCCCCTGCACTGTGATAGCAATTGAATTCTGAAGACCATGAATATTGGAAGTATAACTCCATGTTTTGCAATAAACACAGAGGTGTTCAGGGCTATCCAGGACACTCAAGTCTGTATTTGTTTCAGCATCACTGTTCCATGTTTAAATCTGGCACTTTTTTGCTCCTAATGTGTCTCTTTGATTTGCCTCAGCAATGTTTACTCATTAGTGTAAACATCTTCATGCATTAAAAAAAATCTAGATGAAAATATCAATGGCTAAATTTAAAGATTTGAAGGGATCAAGTAATAAATATCAGAGATATAGAGGGAAATAACATTAAACAATAGGCGTGCGACATAGCTCTCTTGGTACTTCATACACTGACACTACATTAGCGATCCTAAATATATATTTTGCGACATCTGTGGAATCAGTCTTCCCAGCCTCCAAACCCAGAACAGTCTTCATAGGTCCTTCATGATTGCATTATTTTTTCTTTATAAAATATTTGTATAATATATGCAGTAGTTTGAAATTTTCTGAAAGAGAGGAAACAACAAGACAAGGACTTTCACGACAGGAAGTAATTTATTGAAGGCCCCATCACCTCTCAGTGAATTATGAACCAATGACATAAGAGTGAGACCGATGGATCACCAGGGAACACAACGACCCAACCAATCCAGAAAGGTCCCGTTGTCCTCCTCAGAAAGTTTGGACAGCACAGTCACGATGCCTTGTGTGCTCTCTTCCACGCTGATTTCCGGCTGCCACAAAGTTAGTTAGTTAGTTTACTTTATTGTCATTGCACCTCGTACAATAAAATCAAACACCACCTTCAGTGCACATCATGACCATGACCATGAAAATAAACACAAACACACATCCTTCACCCTTCACACATTGAACCGAAAACTCGTGACACCACACCAACACTGCACTATACAGCAGAATTCAAAAGAGCTGCTGCCCTGGGATAGAAGCTGTTTTTCAGCCTATTTGTCCTTGTTTTTATTATTCTGTACCATCTGCCAGATGATAATAGTTCAGAAAAAGAGTTCCCAGGATGAGATGGACTTTTGAGAATGTTTTGAACGTTCTTAAGGCAGTGGGAGTTATAAGGCTCTTCCAAAAAGGGGAGAGGGCAACCAATGATCTTCTGGGCAATGACGTTAACCCTCTGGAGTGCTGTCCTATCTGCCACTGTGCAATTGGCAAACCATACAGAGGTGCAGTATGTTAAAATGCTTTCTGTGGCGCAGCGGTAGAAGGTCACCAGCAGTTTTTCATTCAGTTGTTGTTATGAAGGATCTCATAAGGTTTAAAGAATCAGCTGCACCCAGCCCACAATCCTCACCTAAGCAGATCAGCAAAATCCAGTTGGGCTTCTTGACCATAAATCGTTCTGGTTTAAAAAGATGTATGAAACACAGCCCTTGTGATGGGTGATGATGCAAAGCATCATTTAAATCCCTAAATTTGGGTTAATTAAATCATATTAACTATGGATGAGCAGGCCTTACAAATGTAAATACGGAATCAATAAAGCTGCTTCTAATATTTCTAATATGGAATTCTTGTGATTTAATATGCGAATCTTTTCCCTAACTTCCTCCATTATGATTTCTCGAATGAATGAGTCAACCCTGCCTTAAAAGGGTTTATGAGAGGGCCAGAGTGTTGGCCATTTCAGACATAATAACATGCTTTCCTGCAGACATAGTGCTCTGCAAGTAGAAAGAATCAGAAGTAGCTCTAACTACAAGAGATTTAAAGAGGAGAAGGTGAGATTTAATATTCCTTCTAAGAGGAAATGGAAATGATGGAAGAGAAGGGGTTGGCTACGTTATTACCATTCTGCCATTTCTTTACTCCTAATTCAATGCTTTAATTCAATTTTTACCATTAAAAACTTCAGGGACTCAGCATTATCCATATATCTTTGTGTGTGGGCATAGATAACTGGATAGGCATTAATGTGTTATATCTCTTCCAAGGAGGACAAACTTACAGTTGGGTTGGGAGATGTTTCAACTGAGCCAGGATGGATGGAGATGCTCATAATCCCATTGGCTGCGTACTCAAGAGACTGGCACTTGGTGAGCATGTTCAAAGCAGCCTGCATGGGTGAAAACAAGGGAAGAAAGTACTGAAGAGAAGAAGGGGGAAAAGGATTAAGAAAAACGGTGATTAACAAGATATTGTGCATTAACCATCATGCAGAGCTGGAAAGGTATAGGAGGCATAGGTACCAGAATTGAACTAAATAATTTCTTTAGAACACAAACAGTTCTTCATCGTTAATGTGTTCTTCTGGCTGGCAAGGACATTTTTATCTCCATTATTACATTTTCTGGAAACAAGCATTTCAGCCATCTTTGGTTTGGAAATTTCTACTGACTGAATGCCAGAAGGAATTTATCAGCCCTTGGAATTCCTTTTCAAGTCTTCAGCCTGCCCCAATACAGATGAGACGTCATCTAGCTTGGGACATCCAGTTTGGGAATATCCAACTTGCTCAAACCACGTGTGGCAACTTTAAAGGACGCTAAGTTTGCATATTCCATTTTCTAATCGTATTTAGAAATTACATACTAATTAATTTTCAACTATTAGAAATCTTTGGAGCAACCAAACTAAAAACACTGTGTTTACTTTCAATCCTTAATGAAAGAAAAATTTTAATTGCAACCTTTAAATTTTTTTTTAAAATAAACAGAATGTATTGATTATAACTTTGATTTTAAAAAGCTATACATGGACTAAGGGTCTAGATAAATTTAAAACAAGAGTTTGGAATTGCTATGAAGTATCTTTCCTGTGGAAAAGTACTTTTGTTTTGAATTTAAACAATAAGATTGTTGTCAAAAAGATGTTATGGAAGAGGAACATATTTTATTAAACAAGACAGAGACTGTGTTCAAAGTGGATTTATAAATCAAAAGCTACAAGTAAGGACATAGAAAAAGATGTTACACTGAAACCTACAAAAGAAATTGGCTGGTATTTTAATAATTAAAATGGAAATATGCAAACAATAAACCCAGTTCCACATAGAAAATGCATTAAATACCTTACTACAGCGATATGCAATTGATGGTCCTACATTCCAATAAGCAACAAGTTCCATTGATCCTGCATTGCTGGATATATTGATAAGGGCTGCCTTGGAGCTGCTCAGCCCTTGACGTGGACTTCTCCGGGCTGCCTTCTTCAGTAGGGGTAGGAAGGCCTTGTCGAGAGAAGAAAAGAGAGAAGGAGCTGCAGTCATGCCTAGGGAAAGGAACTGTGCAACGGCAGGGAAAGGTCTTCTGATATCTTCTGCAAGAGGACCTTCATAGAGTCATCCAGGCCTGACCTGGATGGTCTATTGCTGGTCTAATGCTCTTTGGTGGTCTTAAAGGTAGGTCCACACCTCCATTTGATGCAGTCTAGAAGGGGAGATGATGAGACAATGTACATCCCAGAGGGCAGGTCTACAATTCAAAGTTTGCCTGAGACCCAAATAATCCATTTGTTCTGTAATTGCCTTCCTATCCCATTTTCTTCAACTTTTCTGAGAAAGGAGAGGTACGGTAGCAATAACGGTTGGACTTATATGCCACTTCATAAGCACTTTACAGAGTCAGCATATTGCCACCAACTCATTTTACTGATCTTGGAAGGATGGAAGGTTGAATCAACCTTGAGCTGATCAGGATCGAACTCCTAGCTGTGGGCAGAGTTAGCCTGTGACACTGCATTCTAAGCACTGTGCCACCACTGCTCTTGGAAGAGATGGACGATGGGAACATAATTGTCAAAGGTCTGTGGG